GTCTTTAATTTAGATGTTCCTCGATATTCCCCCTTTTATAGATCTTTAAAGATATTCCCCCATTCCCCGATATTCCCAGTTCATTCATTCCCCGTTTTGAGAGATAGCTGGTTTATGCAATACGACAGTTTAAAAAGATACAACTTTAATACATGATATGGATATTGTTTTAATCCATGGTTAATGCATGGATTTCTCAAGATATTTATTTCGTTTTGAGTGCATACAGTAATATAGATTATTATTATTATTACTATTATTATTATTATTATTATTATTATTATTATTATATTATTATTATTATGAACTATATTTCAACACGGTACAATTTCACCTATACTAAAATTAATTATGTACAAAATATAAAAAGAAAAAAAAGGTGATCTTCCAACCGGCCGTGCTCACACAAGCAGAAATAAGAAATAATTACATGAAAATTATTTTAAGTAGATAGAAACAATGGCAGAATCACTTGATGTTGGCTATTAGTAAAACACGGAGCACACGGAGCACGGAGCACGGAGCAGTAGAAAAACGAAAATCCTTCATAATAAAATACACTGTTTACTATTACAAATTTTTGTTCTTATTAATAAAGTTTTTTCGCGTCTTACACGTCGGAGAAGTAAGAAAATTGGGCTCTTAAAAAACACATATGCCAAACTGCCAAAAGCCATAGTTGTCAGTTAAAATAGGATTGTGAAACTCGTTATCTTACATCTGTCAAGCTTATGAGTTATGTAGTTATGTTTATAATTTACTCTCTATATTATATTATATTATATTATATTATTATAATGCCAACGGCAACGCATAAAGAAACACTTCAGTGAAAACACTTAGTCTTAGACTGACAGCCGATATATTTCGTTACCTCTGCCAAAAAATAGCCAAGTATACTCATCTTTCAATGTAGCGGATCGACTGAACATTGAATCATGTGATGAGAAAAGTGAATTTTCGGTTTACCTTCTGCTCAGTGGACAGTGGCCAGTGGCAGTGAGCTGTACGGCCGGCTAAGTTTAAACCGTTATACAGTACATCATTGACTGCTTTCATTCTTTCAATCCGTTTTGAATATTCGGAATCATTCACAATATTATAAAACTGTATAAGATAGCTGTAGAACTATAAATGCTGTAGAATGAAATAAATAAAGAAAAGTAAGTTTTCAAATCGCGGTATTTGCCGATAAATCGGTAATCGCTACAGAAAAACAGAACAAATTACAGTATTAAAACATAGACAATCCAGAAGACAGAATGTCTTCTGGATTGTCTATGATTAAAATCACAACAAACCGCGGAAGTGGGACAATTTTTGTATTTTTACTGTAAGACATGTAGAACATGTACGAAATCCATACAGAAGTGTGTGTGTATTCTATACTTTTGAAACAACTAAATCAGACTTCGGAAAATTTGACCGTATTAAAGCTGCTTTTGGGAATTTAGATTTTAGGTCTTTGTTTTACATGTACCCAGACCAGTAAATATTTTTGAGTTTTGAATTTTGTGTAAATCAACACCAACGCCTCAAAGGCGAAAAGGAGGGCAAGATTGTTAGAATTGCTATTGTAAACATGAGCAGTTTCGAGCATAAACATAAAATTGAAACGAGTAATTTTTACACATCTGATTGACTAGATTCAGGAAGCCATTTAAGTGTACGCGTATTTGTTACAATTCCGATCAACTCGGCCGTGCAGTACGGCAGAGCCAGAGGCAGAGTAAATTGTAAACAAATTGTAAGCTTGTGAGAATCAAAGTTCAAAACTCAAAAATATTTACTGGGTACATGTAAAACAAAGCCCTAAAATCTAAATTCTCAAAAGTAGCTTTAATACTGTCAAATTTTCCGAAGTCTGATTTAGTTGTTTCAAAAGTATAGAATACACACACACTTCTGTATGGATTTCGTACATGTTCTGCATGTCTTACAATAAAAATACAAAAATTGTCCCACTTCCGCAGTTTGTTGTGATTTACTGTAATTTGTTCTGTTTTTCTGTAGCGGTTACCGATTTATCGGCAAATACCGCGATAAAACGTAGTTTTCTTTATTTATTTTATTCTACAGCATTTATAGTTCTACAGGCAGCTATCTTATACAGTTTTATAATATAATAGTGAATGATTCTGAATATTCAAAACGGATTGAAAGAATGAAAGCAGTAATTATGTACTGTATAACGGTTTAAACGTAGGCCGTACAGCACAGGCCGTACAGCACACTGCCCACTGGTCACTGGGCCGAAGGATAAACCGAAAATTCACTTCTCTCCATGACAAGCTTTAATGGTCAGCCGATCCGCTACATTGAAAGATGAGTACTTGGCTATTTTTTGGCAGGGGTAACGAAATATACTTAATGCGTTGGCCATCGGAATATAATATAACTACATAAGCTTGATAGACGTAAGATAACGAGTTTCACAGGCACAATCCTATTTTAAATACTATGGTTTTTTGCAGTTTTGCATCATATGTGCAGTAAAAGCCCCATTTATCTACTTCCCCAACGTGTAAAACGCGAAAAACTTTATTAATAAGAACAAAAATTTGTAATAGTAAACAGTGTATTTTATTATAAAGGATTTTCGTTTTTCTACTGCTCCGTAATTTGTGTGCTCTGTGTACTGTAAATTTCAGGTGGTAATTTTTACCCAAATTTGGGGTAATATTTACCACATTCAAGTGAGTATTTCATTAGGGGTAACAAATTACCCCAGAACTTTGGGGTAATTTCCATTAATTTGGAGAACTTTTGCTCTTATTAAAGAGACAATAAATACGACTGACAATAACTGCTCTTTTACGGGAGTAAAATAATTTTATGGCGTAGAAACTGCCCCATGCATCTTGGGGTAAGGTTAGTTATAAGGAAAACTTACAAAGTGGTGGATTTTTAAAAAAGAAGCTTGAAATGTCCGATCATTGACTTCTTGAATTATAAACATCTGTTGTTTTTTAATGAAAAGTTTACTTTCCTGCGAAAAAGGTAAAACGGCGCGATCAAATGTATGGCGCTAAAGCATGAGCTACTTGCAAATTCACCGCCTACAGTTTTAATTAATACCGCGTAATTTTTCAGGGCAACCATCAGTTTATTTATATTCAGAAGCTTTACTTTCCTAATGCAATCTCAATTATAGTTTTGTTTAACATGCATTGCTGCTCCTGTATTTAGGTAAAATTTGTAAAATTTAAACAGAGAAATATACAGGGGCAGGGGTACATATATTAATTAAAGGGTAACATGGCGGGGGGATCATATAGGGGTAGATATTACCTCCCATGGATGAGGTAGCAAGAAAAAAACAAAATGGCGGATTCGAGGAATGCACTGAGCAAGGAATGAGACAACAACATTGGTGGCCCAGGAAGTCTACTATGCATTGATATGAAAGATATTTTGATCGTACATAACAAAAGAAGTAAATTGGATGTAAGTATTGATAGTAACAGTATATTATGTTTATTGTTTGTATTTTTATAAAAACATATTCTAGTGTTGCTTTTATATAAAAACTTTATAGTGTTCAGTGTTGCGTATAAATAATAATCGCTCCAAAATATCTTGCATTTACAGCACTGATGTACGCTGTTATACTCAGATTTGCTAGAAGTATATTGATTATTAATTAATCTTGATGTTTATGTAACTGGCATTTGATATTTTGGGCACACAAACATTTTGGCATATCCTTGAAATACAGCATTGACTAAATGTAGTGGGAAAGGATATAGTAGCTGTTTTTGTTCAATTATCTTTGACCTTGCTGTGTTGTTCACCTCATATGCATTTAAATGGCCATTAAATAACACTGTGCACAGTATGTCAGTAATGAACAACATCTTCTCCAAGTTCCTCTCAATTATGCATATCTCCTTCAGGACCACAAAGCATGGAGTTTCTTCATCGTCATGACCAATCCACAAAACACACCCAACCTTGAATATTATTCCTTGAACTGAAATCCATTTTATCCTGAAAATGTCATATGGTTTATCATAATTGTCAATCTTCATGCATAGAACAAAGTAAGTTTGACATTTTGTTATATAACTATTTTTGTTATATATTTAAATAATTACATTGATTGTATTTCATAATTAAAGTTAAAATCTCATGTTTCACAAAGCTTCCTGTGTGGGCGGCCGTCCTGCACTGTTTGTTGCTAAGGTGGTTGAAAATCACTTTTAATATTATTTTTCGTCGAAGAAGCTCAGAAAGGATTGTACACTGATTTATACTATGTTGTATACTACCGGGCGCTCTCACATGCTCCCGAGCACTCCGGGCAGTATTTAGTAGGACCCATAAAAAATATTAAATACAAGTGTAATTATATAAAGGAAGTGGAAATGTTTCAATATAGTATTTACACTGGATATGTTTGGAACTAACTCGAGAGTCTAACATTTGGTAAACTCACTTGATTACAGTAATACCTGCAGAAAATTATTCTTTAAATTTATGAGTCATTATTTGCTTGATATTAAGTATTTTGCATTTTTCGTCTTAACAGAGTAAGGGTTATGAGAGCTACATAGTTTTACACACATCTTTACAGTGTGTAGGGTTTGTGAGAGGAAAATTACAATTTAGCTTGTGTTTCAGACCTTGAATGGTAATCTGCCTTAAGTGTGCCCTGCCCTGCATTATTACTTTTACTCTGTGATCTCTGTCAAATACCAGACAGTTTGAATCAGGGGCAGAGTTGTGCTATTTAAATGGGTTGGTCAGCTTAAATGATGTAAGTGAAACATGTTTATACTGTACATACTTGGTAATATTAGTAGTCTGATCTATACCAAATTCCTGCTCTTCTAGTAAATTATAGTAATCAAGATCTCCGGCACAGAATGTTGAACCTACAATGACAACACAAATAGCATCTAAGTATATCAGAAAGATTCTTCTTGATCCAATGATGTGCACTAGTTACTAGTAGTTATTAGATATGTGGGTATCTGTATTACAGTTAATGGAAAGAGCATAGAACCAGTACCTGGTCCAACTTCAACGCCTTTCTCAAGGAATCCTGATTCATGGTTAGCAGATTGTAACTGGTAGCACAGCCATTGTTGGTGCCACATAGCCAAAGTAAAAGGTAAATTGGTGTAGTTTCCAATCACAGTGCTCAACTTTTTGAAGTAATGGTGTTTTGCTTCAAATCGCATGCACCAAGCTCGTACCAGAGGTCCCATTCTAAATGTTTTGAAGAATAATATGTTTCTGGTAATGAGAAAATAAGATTCATATTCTGGGCAATAATTGTACAATATACCAGATTTGATGATATATGAATATTTATATGTTTTACTGTTTTTGCGAAAGTGCAATTTTTTGAAGTAGTGAAAGTCAAGCATGAAAAGGGAAATGTACTGTATTGTGATCAATACAAAACAAAGTCTAAGCTAGAGGTGCACTGAATCTCAATTCCAGCCGGTTAGTTCTGGCCGGAACCCTGATGTTCTAGGGTTTCCGGTTCCGGGCCGGAACTAATAAAAAAGCATGGCTGGAACTGGAACTATCTTGTTTTGAGGGGAAAAGAATTTAATTATATTATAGAATAGTTTATTTATGAAAAAGACAGGGAACAGAGATCCGCATTCATATTCCTGTTGGTTTTCATATAAAGTATGCATCACAGCATCACATAAAGATGATAAAATTTAAATGTTACATTTTATCTAACTCCTGCAGAAAAAACGCATAAATTTCAAAATGCTGAAAGTTGCACAAAGAAACTGGTCTTTGGCTTCACCAACAACACAGTAAGAGGTACGTCAAATAATATGCATATATTAGTCTAAGTTCCGTTCCGGCTGGAACTTTTTTTTAGTTCTGGTAGGATCCTGAAATGTTTATGAAATGTCCTATGTTACCTCATCGTGGCAGTTGGCATATGTACCATGAAATGCATTTTCGGAATACTACTGCATTCTGGATAAAGCTCTCTAAATTTGTGATGGTGGTCATTGATAAGAACCTGCAGATAGGCAACTTGATCCTTTGATATAACAGGTGCAAAACAAAGTGATATGATCTCTAATAGCTTTAGATAAAGAATCCACCGGACGTTTTCAAGTGGAATTAAATCTCCAATTATGAGTGGTATGTGTGTTGCCAAGCACCACATCTGGACAGCTGGAATAAGTGTGGAAATACATTATCATTCATGTAATCAATTTAAAATACAGTATGAAAGTACATTGCAACTGTACAACTAACCATGTTGTTTTAGACTGTTGTCATTTGATGAAAACTTTGCTTCAGTTATTGGTGATGGTTTGTTGGTGTCATTGTAATATCCAAAGTCATATTTGGCAATTCGATCATTCAGGATCTTCAATGTGAGGTAATGTTCCACTTTGATAAAGTTTTTCAACATCCCCCTTGTTTCATATTGCAACACACCCTCTAAAATGTCATGCATTATGTCAGGTGGCAAACCATCAACTACATGATAATAATTGCTCTCAGTTAGACTGGACTTTCGATTAATGCCATATGTTTTGCTGAAGTGTTCTCCGTATTTTTGAACTTGATCAGCTTGGATGTTGTAGCTTTCCTTGGTTCGTAAAACAAATTTTTTTTCATGA